TGCTAACAGGAGATGAAGGCTCACTCTTGGACACTCCTTTAACAACCCGTGGAGACGCCCAATCCTGTTCTGGACCCTGATCATCGACCTGGTCCTCTTCATCAGGTTCAGCCTCTAACTCTCCCTCTTCCTCAGATTCAGACAGACAATCTGAGTGAATGTCAGGGCTCGCTTTGCGCCTTGCCCAACCATCCTGCTCACAGAACTCAGCATGTTTACTGACTATCAGCTTAGACTGATCACCTTCTGGAAATGCAAACTTCCACCCCTTTGTTGCAGGTTCATACCCACAGAAGATCATTTCCTGGACCTTTGTACCAACCTGCTCTTGCAGAAACTTTGGTACCGGCACCAAGGCTCTCGTACCAAACACACGGAGGAAATGCAGGTTCGGCTTCTCTCCGTGAAGCATAAAATGCGGGGTTTCACCTACCACTGAATTGTAGGACCTATTTTTCGTGAAATTTACAAATTTAATTCCTTCCCCCCAAAAGCTTTGAGGCAAACCAGAGTCATCCAGTAGAATCTGTGTTGCTTGAACCAGAGCTTTGCTCCTAAGCTCTGCCACTCCCTTCTCCTGAGGAGAAGTCACCTTGTGACGTATCCCTTTCTGGCGAAAGAATTTCTGCAGACCAGACCCAGTAAACTCTGCACATCGGTCACTCTGGAACCCCTGCACCTTGGTGGAGAACCTTAGTTCCACCTCTGCAATCCAATCTTTGATCAGTTGCGCTGCATCCTCTTTCCGTTTCAGCGGATAAAACCAGCTAACCTGGCTAAAATCATCCTGCAGCGTCAGCCCAAACCTGGCCCCGCCTAGACTTGGCTTTGGCATGGGACCAAAAAGGTCTGTGTGCACAAGCTCAAAAGGCTTTGTGGTTACCCTCTCCACCCTGGGAAAACCACACCCTTTTACATTCACTTTTCTGCAAGACCTACACTTTAGGGGTCTACCACATTCTCTTATTTTGCATCCTTTAGTGCACTCCGGTAGCATTTGGATATCCTCACAAGAACCATGTGACATTTTCTTGTGCCACATGCAAGCACATGAAACATGAGTATGAACAGTTGCAGACTGTGCCTGTGCTTTCTCAGCATTCCCTTTACCCCCCAGAGGTGTTTCAAGAACAAAAAGGCCGTTGTGCCCTTTTGGAACACTGATCAGGTGCTTCCCCCCTCTGGAAATTGTGCAGACATCCTTCTCAAAGCAAACCTTATACCCCTCCTGTAAGAGACAAGGTACAGATAAAAGACAATGTTTTATCCCTGGCGACACGAAGACTTCCAGCTGCGCCTGCAAAACAGAAACATAAACATTTCCAACTTTAGACAATGGCTTTTGTAACCCATTTGCAAAACACACTGTTTTCCCAACCAAAACAGGCTTACAGTTCCACATCTTGACACTAGGTGTCTCAATTATCAGATGCCTGTTGACAGTACTGTCAATAAACCATTTCATCACTTTGTTCTCACTGCAGCTGTTCTCCAAAGCTGCCATAGCAACAAACTGCCCGCTGCCCCCGTCCTTGGGGCTTTTGCAGGTGTCCTTCCCACACTCTGTGGCACGTTCTTCCTGCGCTTTCCCACGACTGCCTCCTCCCCTGGACCGGTTGCCATGGAGACCTGGCTGATTCCCATGGGATGCGACCTTGGAAACTTCCTGCCCAGCTGCTTTCGCTCTCTGTGGGCAGCAGCGACGTGGATGGTCAGGAGAATTGCAAATGTAGCAGCGACGAGTGGAAAAATACTGGGGTGAGCTCACAGCTACCGGGCTCTCGATGCTAGCCTCGCCCCCTCTGTAACAACATTCCTTCTCGTCACACACAGTGGAAACTTTTCTAAACTGGCTTTTGGGCTTCTCTGCCCCCCCGACACTTCCAACAGCACTCCGTGAGGCTGTAAAATCAGGGCTTCTGGCTGAGCACTTGGCTTCCTTCTGCTCCTGGCCTCCTGCTGAGCTTTGACACAAACCCCTCAGCACTTTCCAGGCTTCACAGGCCGACTCAATGCCCTCCAAATGAGGTAGCAGCTTAACATGTACGCTTGCTCTCAACATGCAGATCTCAGCTCTCACAGCTTTCTCTCTCTGCAGCTTTTCTGCATCTCCAGCAGCAGCTGGTTTGGCTGGGGACGGCTCCTTCTGGCTTACTTCCCACAGCCCTGTTTCCCAATACCACGCTCTCACTTTCCTGACCCAGGATTCCCACGACTGGGTGGTGAGCTCTTCAAGCTTTTCAAGCGGAGCTTCAAACACCTCTTGGCCATCTGCCATCTTCCCCCGGGGCCCAGCTTACTCACGTAAACAACAGTAGCTCTCCAGCTCCCGGTCCAGCAGATCAGCTCCTCCCAGCTGAGTTTGTCTGCCTCTCTCAACTTCAGGCAGGACTCAAAGCTGGCTTCAGCGTCGTCAGCTTGCCTTCAATCGTTAGGCACAGCTGCAAACCCTCTGCAGCCTCTCCTTAGCTGGCTCCCACACACACACCGGCACGTCTGGCAAAAGCTTCAAAGCGCTTTCTGTCCACCCATAACCTATGGAATGTTGTAGCCCTTGTAGCCTTTTTAGCTTTTGTCTGGAGCCCACACGCTTCCACTCTCAGCGCTCTGCTCAGCTCTCCGGTCCAGCTACTTGCAGCAGAGTGTACGCAGCTGATAGACTGTTGCTGTGCGTGTGTGCATGATAAATCAGACTGCACGCACGGTGTCTTCCTTATCTTCTAAAAGTCTTTATTCGTGTGGAAAAACAAACCATAAATCTCCTCCTGGCGATCAAGCACACATCTTTGCTCGTCTCTCTCCGTTGCGAACGGAACAGCACTGAGTCACAGGAAACACTCCCCTCAGTAAACCACGCCTCAGAATGTGAGACGTCACTCAGAACTTCTTAACCCTGTAAGTTCTGATTCTCTCCACAATTTTAACCTTATTTTCCATTAAAATTATAATTACTTATTTATGCTTAATTCCTTAAAGCATTTCTACTAAAGCCATATAATTTCCTTTCAACATTTTTCTAACATTCATTAATTTTACATTATTTCCATATATAGATTTTAAACTTTTTCCAATATTCTTCCACCGTCTCTTCTCCCTGGTCTCGGATTCTGTCAATTCCATATAGTCCATCAACCTGGTGATCTGTCCGAGGCTCTTAACTCTTTTCCAAGTCCCTTCTGCGAGTCTTCTTCATGTTTATACATGCACTTTACTTTGTCTTCTCCTGATCTTGTTCTTATTTTCCTTCCTCTGATGCTGAAAAGTAAACCTCGAGGAAATTCCCACCTAGCAATGTTTTTATTCCTTCTCGACAAATCAGCCAGATCTCCATAGTTAAAACTAAAATTCACAAGGTATTTCCAGTCGCAAGTCTAGCAGTCCCCACAACTCCAGTCTCCTCCTGACCCAAGTCCAAGTCCCAAAAGTCAACAAATCCCTGCATGAAGGGATCTATCCAACTTTCCTTCTCCAGTCCAAGCGGGGCTCCAATCCTCAAAGTCTGGCTTTCTCTAGATTCCGTCATAAAAGGCATCCACTTATAGTCATCAATTTGCATCTGTGAGGCTGGGGCTCTAACAACTTTCCCCCCCGCCTTCTCCTCAATTTGCCATGTCAAGGTAGATCCCTGTATTGATTCCTGAATAGTTTCTGTATTAATATTCACTTTTTGTCCAAAATTAGTCACTTTTTGTTCCAAGTTATCAATTTTTATAATCATCACACCCATCTTCCTATGGAGCTGTTCCAGTGAGTCATTAATCTTACATAATGCAACCACTAAGGCTTCTTCTGTCAACATTCTTAACAGTCCAAGGTCAATCCCAGATTCTCACGGTCTTGTCTTACAGCTGGAAATTCCCCACTCAGCTCATGTAACAATTTCAAAGGCTGCCTCTAGAGGGAAACAATTTCTATTTGTATCAATCCTTTTAAGCACAATTAAAACAATAAAGTTAGTTTCAATTTTCAATTACATTTACTCCTTTTTAAACACAGAAGGAGACAATGGAACCAATGTATTTCTCTTCTTTAACTTACTGTCAACAAACGATCTATTCACAGTCAATGAACATATCCAAAACTTCAGTCCTTCTAGCAGCCCGTTTCCAGGTTCAGAGCGGTGGTAATTTGACTTTCTTCACTCTCTCCTGCAGGCTTGCGCGGTCTAAAAATTCCCCCCTCTCCTCTTGCTTCCAAGGGGGGTTTGATGATTTTAGCCAATGGAAGTTTAATCCTTTATGGAAAGCTTTCAAGACGTTAGCTTGCAGCTTTTTTGCTCCAGTCTATTTACAAAAGGGGAAGGCGGACTTCCTGTTTGAAACCTCCCCGTTTCGGTACCAAATTAAGACGTTTAAAAATCCAATTTTCCGTTCTACTCACGGGTAGTTGTTTTAAAATCGAATTGTCCACACAAAAAAGTCAGCGTTCTCCGGCAACAGCAATGCGGCTTCACTCCGTGAAAGCAGTCAATTTGCAGCACCGCGCCACTCACCCCACGTCGCTCCGGATCCCCGAAACCAGGTTTCCCCGCGAGTAGGGGAGGCGCAAAAGGTGCCAGCTGAATCCCACGTTCACAGCCTTCACCCGCCTGTGATTTTTTGTGGGTCCCCGCCTTCGCCGTGGCGGTCAGACCCTAATTTCCACGAAGCGAATTCCTCTCGGTCAGAGGAATTCAGCCATTACCGGAGGCACTACCCCGGAAGTCCTAACTCCCTTCAGTTCTTTGCCTCTCCCAAGCATTAATTAGCATTGTTCCATAATTTGGGACTGCACTTCTTCCTGAGACTCTAATCTGTTTGCCTCTTAGTTTCAGGTGGTGATGAATTGGAAATAAAGAACAAGGGAGACCACAACGAAATCCACACAGTGGAGGAGCCATATCAGGATTCAGACTGTGGAGAGAGCTTCAGTCAGAGCTCCCATTCCACTTCCCATCAAAGAAATCCCCTTGAGAAGAAACCTTATCACTGCTTGGAATGTGGAAAAAGCTTCACTCGGAGTGCCAATCTCACTTCCCATCAAAGGATTCATACAGGGGAGAAACCCTATCAGTGCGTGGAATGTGGAAAGAGCTTCAATCAGAGGGCCAAGCTCATTTCCCATCAAAGGATTCATACAGGGGAGAAACCCTATCACTGCTTGGAGTGTGGAAAGAGCTTCACTGATAGCTCCTCCCTCACCTCCCATCAAAGAATTCATACAGGGGAGAAACCCTATCAGTGCGTAGAATGTGGAAAGAGCTTCACTCGGAGTGCCAATCTCACCTCCCATCAAAGGATTCATACAGGGGAGAAACCCTATCAGTGCGTGGAATGTGGAAAAAGCTTCAGGACGAGCTTTGAACTCACTTTGCATCAAAGGATTCATACAGGGGAGAAACCCTATCACTGCTTGGAGTGTGGAAAGAGCTTCAGTCACAGGTACAATCTCACTTCCCATCGTAGAATTCATACAGGGGAGAAACCATATCACTGCTTGGATTGTGGAAAGAGCATCAGTCGCAGCCATGATCTCACTTCCCATCGTAGAATTCATACAGGGGAAAAACCATATCACTGCTTGGAGTGTGGAAAAAGCTTCAGGATGCGCTCTGAACTCACTTCCCATCAAAGGATTCATGCAGGGGAGAAACCCTTTCAGTGCATGGAATGTGGAAAGAGCTTCATTAGAAAGCACAGTTTCACTTCACATCAAAGAATTCATACAGGGGAGAAACCCTTTCAGTGCTTGGAATGTGGAAAGAGCTTCAAACAGAGGGCTCATCTCACTTCCCATCAAAGGATTCATACAGGGGAGAAACCCTATCAGTGCTTGGAATGTGGAAAAAGCTTCAGGACAAGCTCTGAACTCACTTCCCATCAAAGGATTCATACAGGGGAGAAACCCTGTCAGTGCCTGGAATGTGGAAAGAGCTTCAGTCAGAGGGCCAAGCTCACTTCCCATCAAAGGATTCATACAGGGGAGAAACCATATCAGTGCTTGGAATGTGGAAAGAGATTCACCTGGAAAATAAGCTTCACTTCCCATCAAAGAATTCATACAGGGGAAAACCCCTATCAGTGTCTGGAATGTGGAAAGAGCTTCACCAGGAAAGAAAGTCTCACATCCCATCACAAAATCCATACAGGGGAGAAACCCTAACAGTGCGTGGAATGAGGAAAGAGCTTCAGTCAAAGCAAAAATTTCATTTCCCATCAGAGAATTCACACAGAGAATTCAGTGCCAAGAGTGTGATCGGAGGGATTTATGAAAGTTTGGTCTCATTTTTAAAGTTCTTAACACAATTGGAGCTCTTAAAAGGACTTAGAGCTCCCTGAAAAAGCTAAAATCAAGACAGGTTTGGATAAGTTCGTTTCTCTTTGAAGGAAAATATTTCTTCTACTCTGAGCCACTTAAAGAGAATTGGATTCCTGCAAGACAACCACTCTTATCTGAACGTCTAAATTGCTATGTCCTCTTGGACACATTTTTTATTTTTTTATTTTTTATGGTTCCTCTCTTAAAGTAATTATTTGGTTTATTTGTTTAATTGAAATCTTAATTTGAGAAATTGGATTTTATGTTGAACAGCTTATGTGTGTTGGGTATCAGGCTGGAAGGAAGAGGGAGGGCTGGAAAAATGCAGGTAACAGGATCTCTTGGGAAAGAGTTATTCTGTGACCTTGACAAACTGATAAGGTGCTGCTGGAAAATAAGCTGCTTTGAGAACAAGGGAGAGGGAGGTTTTGAATATGGCAGTTCAAAAACAGTTAACACCAGGCCTGTGTTAAATTTGGAGAAGCTATTAGCCCGAATTGATAAAAATCATTAAATAGTGACAAATTTGACCACTAAAGTAGAGACACTGACAAAGAAAACAGAAGCACTAGATATCTCCATGAAAGGAAGGGAGGAGAAGTCTGAAAAGCTGGGAAAAAAGACAAAAAAATGGAAATAAGAACAGGAGACGCTTAGGATTGATGTGGACGGTTTGGGTGGAAGATAAGAGGCAATTGCGGGCGCTTTGGCGGTTCTTGAGATGAGACAGAAAGCCCAGCCTCTGAGACGGAGAGGAGGGAGGAGAGCAGGATTTTAGCAAAGGTTTGAGCAGAGTGGCTGGGAGTGGAAGAGGAATTCATGGAGGAGGCGCCACTCTCCTCACAGCCAGGGGTGGTGGCTTTTGGGTAGAAAACCAATGTGAATAAATCCCCCCAGTGCCACCCCCTGGCCGGTCTTCCTGTCTCCCTCTCCCTGTGCCCCCACCCTGCCCCAATCAAAGTCCCAGCCAGCAGCTGCCCCTCCAGGCCTTCCTCCACCCATCTTGGGGCCTCAAGGCATGCGGGCAGAATTTGGTGGGGGGCCAGGCTGGGCTCAGGGGTCTGCTTTCCTCTCCATGCACTGGGAAGCTTGTCTACTAACTAATGGATAAAGAGTTGTTTGGAAGACTAAGCCCTCTCAACCCCCCACCCTGTTTTAAGGAAAACCCGCAGGAGGAGCGGGTAAGGGAGGCAGAACTAGGAAGTCCAGAAGTGACCGAGGCCGAGCAGCCACAGGAACCAGAACCACAACCAAGTGGACCAGCGGCGTCCAACCCAACGACCCCGTCACAACCGGCAGCCCTGGAACAAGAGCCAGAACCAGGAACCCCTACTGAAAGACACCCAAGACCACAAGACATACATAGGTGACCGGCGTACCTCAACGACTAGGAATGCTAACCTCCTGGGCGCAACAGGGAACGTAGAGGGGAGGGGGCTTATGTACTAAGCTTTGATCCTAGAACAAAAGGCAAGTAGGATCCTAGAATGCAACAACGGATTGGCCTGCAGGAAAAGACCAATCAGGCTCCAGGAGGGAAGCAGAATCAGCCAGTCAGACGGGACTGATTGTGTAAATAATGTATATAACAGCCTGAGGTTGGGGGTGCAATTAAATCACTGCTTTACAAGCTGCAATAAACAGCATGAAATCACTACAGGACTCCTGAGTAGATTTCAGACAATCTAATGCATCTTTGGTTGGGATTGTCCATCAAGGAGATTGGAGATAGTTGCCAGTCAAAGGGTAGTTTAAGACGCGGGGGGGAAAGACCTCCTTGTGAAAGGGGGGCAGTTTTGGGAGACATTCCAGCCGTGGCATTGGGAGCCAGATGAGGAATCCTGGAAGAGGACACTCCAGGCTCATCTAGTCCAACCCCTGCAATTCAGGAACCCCGGTTCCTAGTCCCGCCAGCTCCCTTGAACTGGGCAACTCAGATGCCTGGAGCAGCGCCCCGTTGGAGAACAGCCTTGGGTCGCCTCTGGAGCTGGCTGGACCTTTTGGACGGCTGTTTCCATCCCCCCTGCCTTCTGCTGGGGGGGCAGTTGGGAGTTGTAGTCCAAAGCCCATTGAGGGTGCCTGGTTCTGGAGGTGGTTTTCAAGTTGGAACTATGTTTTGACCCTTTGCCAAAAGGAGATGCCACAAAGTGTGTGTCGGGAGGGTGTCTTTTCAGTGCCAGGATACAAGGTGCTCTCTTGACCCGGGAGCCCAATCCCTCTCCCCCACCCCTAGAAAAGGGGGTCTTCCCCTCATCCTCTCCTTGCAGGACCCCCTTTTCCTTCCTCTTTGCTCAGAGAGTCGGAACCAACTCTCTCTCAAGGGACCCTGGAGCCAAACACTTGCAGAGTTTTACTTCTCAAGTAAAGGGTGGGAAGGAATACATTCTTGTTGCTCTTGAGATGTACAGAAATCTGTTCCCCACGGAAGGAGAAGCTTGCAAGGCCCCCAAAGTCCCCCGATGGAGCAGCTCTGCGCCTGCGCCACGCCTGGGGCTCCTCCGCAGGGAGAGAGGGACCAGCAAAAGGGTTAAGTGGCACCAAGCTGGCTTCCTAGAGAGGAATAAAGGGAGGAGGCTCCCCAGAGCACAAGCTCCGCCCCCATCAGGGCTTTTGTCTCTCTGCTCCCCAAGTGCTGCCTGGGGGCACCTTCTGGGATCCGGTGAGTCGCTTTGGGGAGATGGGGGGTCCCAGGGCTGCAGGGGAGGGTCCTGGCTCCTGAGAGAGAGAAGGGAGCAGGGTGAGCTCAGCTTTGCAAGGGCTCAGAAGAACAGCCACGAGGGCCAGGGAGTCATGATGGGGATCAGTGGGGATTCTGCTCAGCTCCTGCAAGGGGATCCCCAAGCCAGGGCTAAGAGGTTCTGCCCCCCTTCCTCTCTGCAAAGCCAGGGAGGCTGCAAGTAACAGGAGGTCTGCAACTCTTGTCTTGCTCCTTTGGGGAGGGCACTGTTGGTCAGGCTGCAAGAAGCTCAGGGGAAGTGGCAGGTTGGGGCACCTAGGAGAATATCCTACACCCGTTTAGCGGACAGACTAAGAGCCCTGGAGCTGGAGGAGGGAGACCTGGGCCCAGTTCCCCCCATGGCTAGGAGCTCTGGAGGGAGGTGGGGAAGATGGGGAGTGAGAGGAGCTGGTTCTGGGTGGAAACATCCACTCTGAGGAAAAGATCACCAGCTTGAGAAAGGAGTCTCTGAGCTTAGTGGGAAGGACAGTGTGTGGTGTCCTGGGAGAGTAATTCAGGCCAGGAATGAACTGGGAGGCTGAGCCAGGAGAAGGAGGAGCTGGAAGGAGACCGGCTGCTGAGCTCTCATCCCAGTCAGGAGGGGAGAGATCCTTCTAGAAAGAGAAGACTCCCAAACCAGAGATCCCTTGGGTCTTTGGCTTGGGTACCTCGGGAGTAGGGTGACTGGCAGAAAGTGCCACCTTGTTAAGAGCCAAAGTATTACGTGTGAAACAACTGAGAAAACCTTGAAGGGAAATAACATTGTAAACTGAAATATCCTATGTTTTATCCACTCGTGTCATAAACTTCCTTGTTAAATAAAATTGTTAATGTTTATTTGAAGAAATCCTGCCTGAGACTCCCAATTAGTGAATTTTACCTCACGCAAGTCCCCCACAAGATAATCTGAGGTAGTTGGAGGGCATTTGTGGGAATTGTGTTCTGTGAGGTGGGTGCACTATATTTAGGAGAGAGAATGGGCCCAAGGCTGCCAGGGGGAAAAGAGCCCTTGCGTCGTCGCATATTAATTGGGGGCAGAGGTGGGATATGAAGTTAAAACCCACACAGATCCTATTTAGTTTTGAGCGGACTGGCAGACTTCAACATTCATGAGGAAAACTGGGTGCTGCACTTACGCCCACAGATATGGGGAATTTTGAGTGAAATATACTCAGATCTCAGAGAGGATGAAACCTCTGATTCCCTCACATTTAAAGAGAGAGTGAAAGTGCGCTTTGGACTGACTGCAGAACAAAGCCAAAAAGCCTTTCGTGAAATTAAAAGGAAGCCAGGAGAGACTTAGGCCCAACTGGGTAGCCGAACTGACCAAGCTCTGGACAGATGGGAGGAAAGTGAGATGAGCTCAAACAGCTCATCAGTTTAGAGCAATGTTTTCAAGAGGTTCCTGCTCATTTAGGCTGAAAACAGTAACTGAAGTCTCTACCTTGGGAGATGAAATCAAAGGAGACTCAGGGGGAGCAGTAATACTCTGTCCCTTCCAGAAAAAGCAACCCAGGGAGGAAGTGGGGTCTCAAAACAACAACCCTGAAGGGCGGGCCCAAGGGTGCCGGGGGGAAAAGAGCCATGATACGAAGTAAAAACCCACACAGAAACGTACCCAGAGACACAGAACAACCAGTTTAATAAAGGAGTGAAGTTCTTTGATTAAAAAGAGAAAAAATTCCTGTCAGAAAATGACCAGCACGCGCCAAGCCAAAGAGACTCAGGATGACCCAGCTGCTGCGTCTGAGGAGAATCCTAATATATTGAATTAGAGATGATGAGGCTAAGATTGGAATTGTCTAAGGTTGAAGCAGAGAAAGAAAGAGAAGAGGCCAGAATGGCAGCTGCCCTTCATCTAGCAGAGATACAGGCAGAAAGAGAGAGAGAGAGATGAGCCCAAGAAGAAAGAGACATGTTTCCTTTAAAAATGGAGGAGATTCAGGCGAGGGCAGAACTGCCGCAAGCAAAGTCGGGGGTGGAGATTTTGCCTCAGCAAATGTAAAGTATGTACATTGGTACCTCGGGTTACAGACTCCGCTAACCCAGAAATAGTACCTCAGGTTCAGAACTTTGCTTCAGGAGGAGAACGTGCTCCGGCGGTGCAACAGCAGTGGGAGGCCCCACTAGCTAAAGTGGTGCTTCAGGTTAAGAACTGTTTCAGGTTACAAATGGACCTCCAGAGCGAATTAAGTACTTAACCCGAGGTACCACTGTAAAAGGTGATGGTGTGCAGGCCTAATGGTCTAAGCTTCAAAATGACAGTTTTCAAAATGAGGCAAGTCAAATATTTGGGTCCCAAGGGCTGGAAATATTTATCCTGATTGGAGCAAGGCAAAGGTCCTTCAAGAGGGGCCTAGACCCTCCACAGAAAGAGAAAGAAGAGCTTTTCTGGGGGGAGTGGGATATTGTCCTCCATTTATTTCTCCTTGTAGCCCCCATGCTGCTCCTTGACATGACTGGAGAAGAAAGACCAGCCAGACAAGAGCATTTGGAGGGACCAGTGCCAGGCAGCGTTGGGACATTTAAAAACAGCCCTAGATCCGGGGTCAGCAAGCTTTTCCAGCCGGGGGCCGGTCCACCGTCCCTCAGATCTTGTGAGGGGCCGGACTATATTTTGGGGGGGGGGATGAACAAATTCCTATGCCCCACAAATAACCCAGAGATGCATTTTAAGTAACAGGACACATTCTACTCATGTAAAAACACGCTGATTCCCGGGGGCCGGATTGAGAAGGTGATTGGGCCACATCCGGCCCCCGGGCCTTAGGTTGCCTCCCCTGGCCTAGATGGACCTTGGGGTCCCTTCCACCTTTAGGATTCTGCTCTTCATTGTGGAAGGCGGACAAGGAGCAAGAGCAACCTGCCGTCACAGAAGGAAGAGGACGGAGTCTTCATCTCCTTGGTTGCCCTTCTCTGGGAGGGTGGGCAGATTGTGAGGAGCAAAAACGAGGGTGTGATGATGACTCTCACTTTCAATACTCCTACTATAGGTAGGCTAGAGAAGCTGTGAGATGTTTTGCTGAGGGGGGGGGCAGGAGAAGAGAAGAGGAACGCAAGTCTTCCACCCCCAGTTATGTCTCCTCCAGAACATCTGGCCAGAGACATTTTGACAAAAAAATCCACCTGGACAGAATTTTTACCCCTGAAAAGGAGGACGTGTCCTGGGAAAAGAGGACACATGGCAACCCTTCTTCTCTGGCGTCCCTCGTAGCCGAGTAAGACTGTCTCCCCTAAACACGGTTTCAACCATGAGGCCCTCAGTGACCGTGGGGGCCAATTCTGGATCCAGGCGTCCTTCCTTGCCTGGTTGAAGGAGCTGTGAAGACACGCTGATTCCAGAGGATGAGGAGCGTCAAACACACCATTTAACCCACACGGGTCTGGCACCTGGTGTTGGCAACCCAAGTCTCAATCCAATTCCAACATTTATGAAATTGAGTTATTTTGCGGGGCTTGGGCACCCACCAACTTAGAACAATGTCACCAGAGGGGGAATAAAAGGCTTCCTAGGAAAACCCCCCTGGCTGCTCCTGGGTCGCTTCCAAGGCGACTTCACCAAGAACATACATTTATGGCTGAACTCCAGACACAAAGCAGCAGGTGGGACAACACAGAATGGCCCCCCCAGCCATGTCTGGCCATGTCTCCCCCCTCCAGCCCCCCCGGGACCCCCTCTTGCTGGGACAGGGCTCTCTGCCCCCCCCCAGGGCCCCCCAAGAGAGACTCGCCCCCCCCGGAGAAGAGACACCCCGGGTCCCCCATCTGGCCCCCCAAGACCCCCCTCTCCCCCGCCCAGACGCCCCTTCGCAGCCCCAGGCAGAGAGACGAGCTCCTCCTCCCGGACACGGCATTCCCCTTCACACGCACACGCGCCCAGTCCCGGGTTCTGGGTCGTGCTTCTTCCCTGCCCCCCCCCCCCCGATGGAGCAGCTCTAC